TCAGAAGCCAGGGGACAGTGTGATCAACAGTATGGAAGTGGGAAAGTATCGGGCCAACTTGGAAAAAGTGAGTGGTCCTGTATGGTTGGAGGGTAGAATTCATGAATGGTAGTAATAACAAAGAAAAAAGGGCGGGGGGGTCTGAAAAGGCAATGACATCTGAATTTTGCTCAGTAGGCAAGAAGATTTTTAGGCAAAGAAGGGACATGAGCATAAAACAATTTACCAGTTGGAGAAGCAAGAAAAACCATCAGAGAGGCTTTTATAATAGTCCAGGGACGAATCAATAAAGACTGCAATTAGAAAGGTGGCAGTAGCAATAGAAAGGAGAGGGCAGGTATGAGAGATGATGGTAAGGTGAAATTGAACTAACTGAACACAAGTGGTGAGTGTGGTAAGAGACAAAAATAACACCTTCTTCCATACCTTGTTCATTCTTTCTTTTTGATTTGTTTTTAATTTTAATTTATTTTTTGTCAATTCTTTTTTTTCACTCCAATTGATAAACTATTTTATGCCTATGTCCCTCCATTGCTCAAATACTCTGCCAAAATCCATATAAAGTGGGTCTGAAGCATTCCACTGATCTTTTGTTCTATTTACCTGCTGAAAAAGGAAATTAAGCTGGCATGATTTCTTCATGATGAACCCATGCTGGCTCACAGACATCACCACGGTGATGAAGCTGGGGTATGACTTGATTAAAATAGAGCCTGATGAAGATCTAAATTTTTCCTTGTTTATATATAATTTATATATTTATATTATATATAATTATATATAATATATAACATGTATTCTATATATTTTATATATACATATATATATAATTTATATATAAATTGAGATGTCCTGCAAGGCCACATAGAATAAACATCCAGAAGTCAGAAGATGTAGGTTCCAGTTAGTCCTGACCTCATCACTTACTAACTGTATTGCCTTTTGGAAGTCATCTTCATATGCAGAATAGGTATAACACCTTTTTTGCTTCGCCTCACAAAAAAGGGATTTTGTGAGGATCCAATGAGATAAATGTATACTATATAAACTGTAAAGTGTTATGCAAATGTTCACTATTGCTTCCAACACTGTTTGTTATCTGTTGCCGGAGTCCTAATGCTTTTTTCATTGCCTGACTTTCGAAAATGGTTTTAATTTTGGAAACAGTGTTCTTCATGACTGAGGGAAAGGAAGGTAGTGGGCCAAGAGCAGACAATTGTATGGCAGAGTAGCCTGAACACAAATCAGGACATATAGGTGCAAGTCCCAGTTCCAATACTTATTTATTAGTTGTGCCACCTTGGACAAATTGCTTTAATACAATATACGTCTCATAAGCACATATTACACTATAATTAAAACACTATGCTAGGGGTCCTGGGATAACAACAAAATTGGAACATTTCCTGCCCTCAAGGAGCTTATATTTTACTGAGGGTTTACAATACGCATCCAAATACAGCACAAAGAAAATTGTAGAGGGAGAGAGCAATAACAATGTGGGAAGGGTGGGGTAGGGATCAGAGAAGGATTCATGAAGGGGGTAGCACCTGAGCTATCACCACTCCCCACTCAGCATCAGTTCATATAAATCTTTCCAGATTTTTCTGAAATCTGCCTGCTCATCTCACATATACTTTCTGTAGGACCCTGGGTACTTAACTTGGGAAGAGAGTGGAAATGAGGAGGAAAGGCATTCCAGGCATAGGACACAGCTTGGGTTAATGCACAGAGGTAGGAAATTGAGCATCTTTGAAATAATCATTTAATCTGGCTAGGTTGCAGAATCTGTAAAAGAATATATAGTTTTCAATAAGGCTAAAATAGATATGAGCCAGTTTGTGGTGGGCATTAAACACCAGATCAAGAAGTTTCTATTTTATACTATAGGCCACTGATCTCCAAAGTAAGGACTGGGGCCTCCTGGAGAGGTTCTTTGATTTCACTCCAAAAGGTGTATAATCAACCAGTCAGAGGGTGGGAAGATGGATAGCATCTCACCCTCCTCTATGATAACCAATCACGTTGCTTGTCTCCAACACAATCACAATTACCCTCCACCCATTACAGCCCTACAACCTCCATTATATCCCACCCCCAAGTTCTTTCTGAGATAGTTTTTGACCTCTTAGGGCATTCACTATGGTAGCTGCTAAAGTAGCACTGGTAGCTAGGTGTCATGGTGGATAGAGTACAGGGTCTTGAGTCAGGAAGACGAGTTCAGATTTTATCTTAGACACTTAATAGCTTTGGAACCCTGGGCAAGTCATTTAACCTCCATTTGTCTCAGTTTCCTCAACTATAAAATTGGAATAATAATAGCACCTATCTCCCAGGGCTGTTGTGAGGATAAAATGAAATAATATTTGTAAAGTGTTTAGCACAGTGCCTGACAATTGTAGGCACTATACAAATGCTATTGTTGTTATCTTTGCAGTCATGTCCAATTCTCTGTAACCTCATTGGGGTTTTCTTGGTAAAGATACGAGAATGGTTTGCCATTTCCTTCTCCAGATGAAGAACTGAGGCAAAAATATAAGTACTAGATTATTATTATCACTGGAAAACTCCTCCTACCCCTTTCCACTTATTATATATAATGTTCCCATTGGGCATACTGGAGAATATCTACTGGAATATAAACACACATATACATATATATGCACATACATGTAAATATACATATATACATTTACATATATGTACACATACATATATTTATGCACATACTATATGCATATACACACAGATATATATGAATATGTATATATACATATATATTGCATCATATATATATACACACATATATATATACATTTCTTACTGACAGGTTAAAAAAAAATCTGGTGACCATTGCTTTAGGCAATAGGAAGCCATTGAAATATTCTTATTTTCTTAAGCAATAAAATGATGATAACATTGTCACCACATACTTCTGAGTAAAATGTAGGAATAGGGACTGGACTAGTGAATTCACTGATATAGGAAACTCCTCAATGAGGAAACTCCTTTTACCAATGCAGCCTAGTGGCTTTTCTATAACCTATCAATAGTCTCAGAGAGCTGCCTATAGTATGGAGAAGTTAAGTATCCAAGGTCCCACAGAAAGTATATGTGAGATGAGCAGGCAGATTTCAGAAAAACCTGGAAAGATTTACATGAATTGATGCTGAGTGAAGTGAGCAGAACCAGGAGAATATTGTACATAGTAACAACTACATTGTGCAAAGACTAACTTTGATATAGCTCTTCTCAACAATACAATGACCTAAGACAATTCCAAAAGACTCATGATGGAAAATACCATCCACATCCAGAGAAAGAACTATGGAGTCTGAATGTAGATCAAAGCATACTACTTTTTTTTCTTTCTCGTGGTTTTTTTCCCTTTTGTTCTGATTCTTCTTTAATAATATGCCTAATGTGGAAATATGTTTAATATGATTGTACATGTACAGCCTATATCAGATTGCTTGCCATCTTAGGGAGTGGGATGGGGAAGCAGAGAGAAAAAATTTGCAACTCAAAATCTTATGAAAGTAAATGTTGAACACTATCTTTACATGTAATTGGAAAAAATAAAATACTTAAAATTGAAAAGAAAAGAAAAGAAAGTATATGTGAGAGGTGAGACTTGAACCCAGGTCTCCTTGGCTCCAAGATCATCTTTCCATCTACTATGATGATACATTGCCTCTGGAAACCACAAATATGAATTATTTCCATTTTATCACACTTCAAAATGACATCCAGAAACTAGAAGACAAAACAACTCTTTGTTTTCATTATGTTATTAAAAAATGGAATAATGCTTCATCAGATTGCAATTCCATCTTGACTCCCCTAGCTTCCAGCCCCAAATTTCACATAACATTTATAGAACTACAGAGAAAGTTGGAGCTAAGAATTAGTCCAATAGGACCCATTCATTTTACAGATGAGTAAACTGAAGTCCCCAGGGAGAGGCTGACCAGGGCTCGGGAGAGGAAGTGAACGGATGTGCTTCAGGCAGTTGCTGGCATTCTCCTAGCATCAGAATCTAAGGAGATGACAATGACAAGGGAGGACTGGGGGTGGGGGGAGTGGCCGCTGGGAAGTGTAGGCAGGCCTGTGGAAAGCCTGAGAACTGAACGGAATGTCTGTGGCTGAGTGACGTTTGGAACTCTATCAACTCACCAGCCCGAGGAACAGCCTGCCTGGAAGAGTCCAGCCAGGCGGGTCTTCTGGTAATGTGAGTAAACAGGGAGACCTGATATAGCCCAGATGCTCCCTTAAATGCCCTGATAGGGCTTCGTCTAATTATGTGCTGGGAACAACTTTTTGTTTTGGTTTTTGGTATTCTATATCTATATATTATCTCCCTCTGTATATATGTGTGTATCTATGTATGTGTATGTATAGATGTGTGTGTGTGTGTGTGTGTATTTATATATATAAAGATGGATTTTTTTTTCCCTTTCTGTAATCCATTCCTAGTTGTAGGAGTGGGGAAATGCACAAACAATCAAACAATTCTGGGGCTGACTCATTGACCCACCCTTGGAAACCAGTGGAAGATGAGGGGGGGGATCTGTGGAAGGGGGCCCCACCTATTTCTAATTTGTTCTTGGTCCCTGGTACCTAGGTCAGGGTGCTGCTCCCTCGTGAATGAATAAGCCATGTGGCCTAGAGAAGTTTTTTCACGAATTCTTCTCCATTGGCCTTACTCCTGTTTCATTATGACCTTCCGGTTTCTCAGATCTCTGCTGATATTCCAAAGGAAGCTAGACAATTATGCTCTCCCCCTCATCCCCCCCACCCTATATTGCTTGAAATTAAACAAGAGTTACAGAGCCACAACAGCTTCCCAGCCTGAGAAACACATGCTGTTAGTTTGGTCATTCTGTTCAGCCAACTTCTATCCCCACCCTCTGGAGCTCTTCCTACAATTTAAGGTTGGAGTTAATATCGGAGCTGATTACAAGTGGAGAACAATGGACCCAGAACCTTTCAATACAGACCTTGAGTGTTTAGTTGTCTACAAGCCAGACACAGTCAATCCACAGCACCAGATTTGTTCCAACAAGCGAGAAGGCCCTGGATCCCAAACCGAGATGGAGGCCCAGCCAATAGAAATTCATCCAGAGGAGGAGATGCAGAGAGAGAGAAATGGCAAAGCTGGTGCCGGCTGTTGGTAATTCAACTTCTGTGCAGGCGAAGAGTCTCATGGAATCTGCTCCTACCCACCACCCCTGCTCCAGGCCACTCCCACAGTCTCAAGCACTCCAAGGCCCACAGTGGCTTCTATATTTTTATTCAGGAAGGGGAAAGGTCAGCTCAGCCTCCTGGTCTGGAATCTGGACTTCTGCCCAGATTTCCAGGCGTCAGCAGTGCCCCCGGAGTTTCCTGTTGAAGAGGGGAAGCTCCCTTACTCCAGGAAGACCTAGTTTCTGCCAATTTGGGGTATAGGGTGTCTTAAAAGTCAAGAATACCAAAAGCTAACACTTTTGCCCCTCAGTCACCCCCTCCTATCTGGAGCCAACAAAAGGACATTGTGACTAGGGGGTGGGGGTACCAGGACCAGAAAGAATGGATGGTGATCCTAACTGCTCAATTTGATTCAACTGCCTAGGAAGTGCTGGGCACTGTGCTACATGCTGAGGGCACAAAGAAAAAAATAACAACAACAAGAACAAAAAACCAATGGTAGATAGAAAGAACAAATAAAAACAACCCCAGAAGTCAAGAAGCTTCCATTCTACTGTTCAATAAGTGACCAGAAGCCTGGTGATTCATCTTCTGCAAAATGTAACCAAACATGAACCAACCTCACCTCAAGAGGGCTTCCTAGCGTGAATGATGGGGAGGAATAGGAGCAGCTAGGAGAAAGGGTAAGAGATTTCCCTCCACATCTCCAAGCACATGCCCCTACAGTGCCGACTACAAGGAGAGAATTACCTTCCTGGGAATGGCTTTCGTCAGATGCTGAAACTTTCTAGCTTACTACTTCCTCATCCATTAACCACATCACTATTTCTACCATCAAAGAGTACTACGGTAGGAATTACAGCTAGAAGGGACTTTATAGATCATTTAGTCCAAACCTTTCATTTTAAAGATGACAAAAATGAGGCTCCAGGAGAGATCGTGATTTGCCCGAGGTGCGGTGGGTAGACAATAGTTGGGTTGGTATTCAAATTTAGGCCCCCAGACTCCAAACTTTGCAGCATATAGACCTAGACCTCCATGCTTGAAAATACTTTGTGAGACATGGTGGTGGGGGCATCTAGGTGGCAAAATAGATAGAGCATTGGCCCTGGAATCAGGAGGACCTGAATTCAAATCTGGTCCCAGACACTTACCAGCTGAGTGATCCTGGGCAAGTCACTTAACCCCAATTGCCCCCTCAAAAAGAAAGAAAGAAAAAAAAAAGAAACACGATGGTGCATGAAGACAGGCTAACCCATCTTAAAGGGCTTAAAATTGAAAAGAGATTGTATTGTGGCTTATCCCTGAGGTATAGTGAATTGAGTGCTAGCCCTGGAGCTGGGAAGACTCGGATTTAACCTCTGTTTCTGCTTCATACTGGCTCTGTGACTTTCGGCAAGTCACTTCACCATGTTGAACCTCACTTTCCCCATCTGTAAAATACAGTTGGATGAGATGGCCTACAGGGTCCCTTTCAGCTCTCATTTGATAATCACAGCACATCTCCAACATTCTTTGGAATGCTTGAGGGTTTTAAAGGTCTGTTTTCCTTGTCAATCCCTCTATAGCAGAGGTTTTGAACCTTTGTTTGTGTGTCACGGACACCTTTGGCAGTTCAGGCAAGACCATGTACTCTTTTTTTGAATATTTATCATCCTATCAATCCATGCATAGGATTACAAAGGAAAAATATTGTAATCCTAATGCATAGGATAGCAAAGGAAATCAGTTATATTGAAATATAGTGATCAAAATATTTTAAAATAATTTCACAAACCCCAGGTTAAGGACCTCTGTTCCAAAAGATGGTCAATTTCAGTATTCCTGGTGCTTCCTTTTATCTGATAAGAAGGCCCAGCTGAAGCTTCTTCCTTAGATTTTGTTGGCAGTCTCTTCTTGGCCTCTATCCCTCACTCCAATGGGGCTTGAGATGGGAATCCCTATTCTTGCCTTTCCTACATCCACATCAGATAAGCATATGAAGCAAGGAGAAAAAAGGAGAAGGCAAGGTGGAAGGGAGATTACATGAGTCTATGCAGGGCAATCCTGAGTCGTTTTCATTTAAGAAGTGGAACAGAAGGATCACCGCCCCACACACACACCTAAAAAAAATGAACCCAAACCCCATTCCCTCTTTCTTTTACTAGTTGTGGGAGTGGGGAAATGCACAAACAATTCTGGATCTGACTCACTGACCCGCCCTCAGAAACCAGTGGAAAATGTGGAGGGGGGAGTGGAGCTCTGAAATGGGAATCTACCTATTTCTAGCATATTCTTGGTCCCTTGTGAATGAATAAGGCATGTGGCAAGAAAATCAATCCCTTCCCAGAAAAAGAGAAATTGACGAAATGGTTTACAGGGACAGTAAGAAAACAGCTGCCTTATTGGGTCCACACTGTCCTCTGCCTTCCTTCTACCCTATGCTTGGAGGAGAGGTTATAAAGGCAAAACAAAACAAACAAACAAAAAAGACCATCCTGATCCTTGCTCCTAGTCCAATATGTCTCTGTCTGCCTCCTGCTTTTCAGTTGGAAGCCAATAAGCCCAAAAACTTTTGAGGGTCGTCTCTCTTCTCAGCCACCATCACCAGCCATCCTTCAGACCTGGCCCCTCTGAGCGGCTTCACAGCTGTCCCCAGCCCCAACCTCCCTCCTCTCCCCTTCACAACCCCAGACAACACAAACGAGGGCTTTGTTAGGACATCTGGCAGGGGCCCTGGCTGAGGCTGCCTCACTACAGCCTCGCCACAGCAAAGGAAGGAGACAACAGCTCCAGGGACAGACAAGAGGATAACAACCCTATGTTTGGCTAAACCTCTCGACTTCTAATTACCTCCTGTCTGGGCCCACCCAGAACTCTCCAAAACCAACATCCCAGTAATGTTCACAGGATTTCAGTTTATCTAACAGAGAAGACAGAGAAAAACAAAACAGCCGATGGGATGACTTTTTTTTTCAGTGTCAACATTGAATGTGATTTACTTTGTCAAGCGATCTAAATTCCAAGAATGAATTTCCAACACCTCAATGGTCAACCTGAGACAGAAATTTACAGATAGCTACAGGGAACCTGTGCTATACTTTATTATTCAAAGCAGCAACTGGTCCCCTATTATGGACATCCCTTTGAGCTGTTTTCACACCTGAGTATCCACACTCCCTCACTTTGCCATCCTTGTGAACAACAGTAGGGTAAGGGATGTAGCTGGTGTCTGCTGAGCCAACTTCTCTTTCTCTGAAATCATCTGTAGGAATTAAATCAATGATTGTACTCTCATTAGCACTGTGCTTCTAATTAACAGAACTAAGCTGTCCCAAGTGTACTCAGCAAAGTTCCAGACCCAGCTGAAATCCATTATCTCTCCTAAATCACCACCCACCAACTTTTACCAAACCAATTTGGACATGCTGCATGAGTAGTATCTGTTTCCAGGCTTGATCAGAACCAGAAAGTTACCACTCCCAGTACTTGCCTCCCAAACCCACAAAGTTTTCTGGCCTTATTCCATGCTGTAATTGATCCAATTAAGCAAACATTTAGTATCTACTATATGCCTGCCATATATAGGGCAAGCAGGTGGCTCGGTGGAAAGAACACCAGGAGAATGTGAATTCAAACCTCACTAGCTGTGTGACCCTGGGCAAGTGACTTCACCCTGTTTACCTCAGTTGCTCATCTGTAAAATGGTCTGGAAAAGGAAAGTTCAAACCATTTCAGTATCTTTGCCAAGAAAGCCCCAAATGGGGTTACAGAAAGACAGACATGACTGAAACAACTCAACTACGGCAATATGCCTGCAATGAGGGATACAAAGACCAGAATGCTAAACAGACTCTACCCTTAAGAAGCTTACATTCTACTAAAGGGTAAGTAGGAAGGACACAAAATGTAGGCAGATAAGTAAGTAAAAATAACAAGAGGCAGCATGGCATGGCATAGTACATAGAGAGTTAGCCTGAGTCAGAAACATCCCACTTCAAGGTTTACCTTGAACACACTTGGCTGGATGACCCTGGGCAAGTCACTTAACTTCCGAGTACTCCAGGCACATATCTAAGGCTAAAAGCTGCAAAGCAGTTACTGATCTGCTAGTAGAGGCAGCCTCAGGGGTGTGCTGATAAATGTTTAATAACCAACTCACTGCATTATTAATACTCTCTGAAGTCTCAATAATCAATTTGTGATTTATAACAACTAGCTAGTTAGAGGTGGCTCCCAAACACCCTTAGGTTTTTTTCTGGGGAATTCTCTCTTCCCATGGAAAAGCTACCTTCCCCCCCCCCACCATTTCTGTCCCAGTACAAAGCAATATCATCAAGAAGGAGAGAGCATTAATTGACAGGGTGATCAGGATCTCTTACAGGAGGTAGCACCTGAATTAACTTACTTTCCTCCCCAACTTCCCTCCCTGTGTTTTGAAGGAAGCCAGGGATTCCAAAAGGTCTGAGGAAAGGGAACACATTACAGAATGGGAAGGGGGAGGTGTAGTGAAGACCTATATTCATAAAAGCATAAAGACCCAGGCCCATTGCTAGAGTGCTAAAGCAGGAGTTCAAATCTGCACTTGGATTCTTATTAGCTCTGTGACCTTGGACAAGTCACTTAACCTCTGTCTGCATCAGTTTCTTCATCTGTAAAATGAGGGTAGTAATAGCACCTACTTCCTAGAATTGTTTTGATGAATAAATGAGATAATATATGTAAGTTGTTGCTGTTGTTCAGTCATATCAACTCTTTGTGACCCCATTTGGGGTTTTCTTGGCAAAGACACTGGAATGATTTTCCATTTCCTTCTCCAGCTCATTTTACAGAAAAGGAACTGAGGCAAATAGGATTAAGTGACTTGCCCAGGGTCCCACAGCTAGTAAATGTCAAGAGGCCAGATTTGAATTCAGAAAGATGTCTTCCCCACTCCAGGCCTGGCACTCTATCCACTGCCCTGTTATTTTTAAAGTGCTTTGCAAAGCTTAAAATGCTGTATAAATGCTAGC